ATCTAAATACAGGAGTCTATAGATGACCTTGTTTCTTTCTTTTTTTTTTTTTATAAAAAATATCTGGGAATAAACCTTCTAAGACACACTCAGGATTTATATGAGTACAACTAAAACACTTTACAAAAATAAAGGATGACAAATAATTGGATAGATACCAGTTGTTCATGTTCAGAACCATTTGGTGCCATAGTCAAGCTTTATAGTGTCATAGCAAACTAGGCAAAGTGATTTTTAAAAATCTGGAAGACCAAAATGAAATAATCCATTTCAAGGCAAATAATGAAAAAAGTAGAAATGAAGTGGGTCTAGTAATACCAGATCTCAAACTATACTACAAAGTAGCAATCATCCAACTCTTTGGCAATAGATTAAAAAAAATAGAAAAGTTGACTAATAAGAAAGATAAAGTAAACAAAAGGCAAAAGCAATCATCTGTAGTAGCACAGTGTTTGATGAACCAAAAGACATTCACTATTGGAGTAATGGCTTCCTAATTGACAGTAACTTCTGTGAAGTGGAAACAATCTCGCAGAAGTTAGGTTGAACTAACATCTTACATCATATATCGTAACAAACTCAAACTGACTTTTGACCTAAAATGGCTAAATGACCTAAATGTAGGTCATAGCAGAGGAGAAGTGAAGGAGGTACCTCTCATAACTATGGCGAGAGGCAGAATTCTTATCTAAACAAAGGATAAAAGTAGTCATAGAAGATAAATGGATAATTTTGATTGCATAAAATTGAAGATTTTTTTTTTTTGCACAAGCAAAATCAATGTAGGTAGTTTTAGAAGGGAAAGAATTAACTGGGAAAAATCTTTGCAGCAAATTTCTCTTATATTCAAGGTATGTAATTGATACAAATATATAAGAAAAAAGATTCATTCCTCAACAGATAAATCAGTCAACCAGTCAATAAACATTTATTAAGTGCCTACTGTGTGCTGCATACCATGCTAAGCTCTGTGGATACAAAATGGGACAAAAGACAGTCCTTGCCCAAGAAGCCACAATCTAATGAGCGGAAGATAACAAGCAAACACATTTGTATGAACAAGCTATATACAGGAAAAATGGGGGGGGCATTTAAAGGAAAGGCACTTAGAATTTAGAGGAGTGGGGGAAATCATCCTGTAGAGGATGGAAATTTAGTGGGAATTTCAGGAAAGCCAGTGGGCTGAGATGAGGAGAGAATCTTCCAGGTATGGGAGATAGTCAGAGAAAATGGCCAGAGCCAACAGATGGATTGTCTGGTTCATAGAACAGCCAGGTAGCCAGTGTCACTGGACTGAAGTGAAAATGGCAAGGAGTAAGATATAAGAAGACTGGAAAGGTAGAAACAGGCTAGGTTATAAAAGGCAAATGTCAAAAAGAGGATTTTTTGTTTTATTCTGGAGGTAACAGAGAGCCACTATAGTTTATTGAGTAGAAGAGTGATATGGACTTGGGGGTGGGGAAATTGCGGCCTCTAGTCCACGTGGGGCCCTTCAGGTCCTCAAGTATGGAACACATCTTTGTTCTGTGAAGTATGGATTCACTCAAAGGGCTGCACTTGGCCTGAAGGGCCCACATGTGGCCTTGAGGCTGCAAATTCCCCACCCCTAGAACCTGTGCTTTAGGAAAATCACTTTAGTGACCGGATGGAGGATGAACTAGAATGGGGAGAAATTTGAGACCAGCAGAGCCACCAGTAAGCTATTTTAATAGTCTAGGCATGAGGTGATGAGGGCCTGAACCAGAGTAGGGACAGTATCAGGAGAGGAGGAGGCCAGCATATTTGAGAGATGTTGCAGAAGTCAAATCAACAGGCCTTGGAAGTGTTTGGATATGGGAGCAAGAGTGAGGAGTCAAGGAAGACTCCTAGGTTGTGAACCTGAGGGACTGGATTGAATTTAAAATGCCTATAAGATATCCAGTTCAAGATATCCAATAGGTAGTTGGAGATATGAGACTGGAGGTCATGAGAGAGAGTAGGGCTGGACTAATAGATTGGACAATGATCTGAATAATTGAATCCTTGGTAACTGATGAGATTACCAAGCAAAATAGTACAGAGAGAGAAGAGGAAAGGGTCTAGAATAAGCCTTGGGGGATATTTGTGTTTAGCGGGTACAATGTGAGTGAAAACAGTGCCACGAAAACCTAGACAAAAAAGGCTACCCAGGAGCAGAAGATGATTAACACTATCAAAGGCTGGCGAGAGGTCAAAAAGGATGAGGATTGCAAAAAGGTCATTAGATTTGTTGATTAAGAGTTAATTTGGTAACTTTGGAGAAAACAGTTTCAGTTGAATGAGGTAGAAAGTCAGACTGTAGAGAGTTAAGGAAGAGAGTGAGAGGAAAAGAAGCGAAGGCACTGATCATAGTTAGCCTTCTCAAGGAGTTTGGCTCCTAAAGGGAGGAGGGATAATACTATAGTTAGTGGGGATGGTCAGATAAAATTGGGCTTTTTTAAGGATAGGAGAAACATGAATATGTTTGTATGCAGTAGCAGCACAGGCAGGTAGAGAAGCAGACAGGTGCTCAAGCACCCTCTTCTACATGAAGCCTTTCCTGATTTGCCCTCCCAGCTGTTTCATTCTTTGTCTCTTTAGAACCTAGAACATAGCAGGCACTTAATAAATGCTTGCTGGTTTACTGTAGTGGAATTTTCTTTTAATTCTCTGCTTATTTTCTGTTAATCTGGATATTTCATTTTTGTAAGAATTCCTCTTTTGTTTAAGTTGGTATATAATTTGACAAAAATTTCTAACAATTTCCTTTATTTTCTCTTCATTTGCTATGAATTCTTTTTCATTTTTGTTTCCCCTCTGTCTCCCTTATCTCTCTCTTTCTCTATCACTCTTTCTTTCACCTCTCTCTTTGTGAGTTCTATTTAGTAGATTGTAAGTAAGCAAATGGCAAAATTTCAAGGCCAAGGAATATGGTCTGTGGACTTGATGGGAAAAAAAAATCACATCTTTATTTCCATAGAATGGGTTTCCTTTGTAATCCTATGTATTTTATTTTATGCACTTAAAAACATTATTCTGAGAAGGGTCTGAGGAAACTGAGGCAGAGAGAAGTTAAATGACTTAACTAGGGTCACACAGCTAGTAAGTGTCTGAGGCAGGATTTTAACTGAGATCTTTCTGACTCTAAGTCCAGCACTTTATCCCCTGTCCCAGCGAGTTGGGCATGTCACTGTGTCTAGGACAAAAGCTGTCTGCTTTTCCCCGTAGCTTGTGTCTGGTCAGAGAAGGTCTAGCAGTCAGAAGGAATGGTAGAGGTTGGCAAGGAGATGTTTAAAGCATAGGCAGATAGCTGAGTTTCTGAGAATCTGAACGGTCCAGCTGAATAAGCTCCCATCCATACACTATGAAGTCCTATCAGGTGTGTAGCTGTCCAGAGTTCTGACCTTGATCTCTTCTCAGAAAACAATCCTCTGCACATAATAAATATTTGTGCTGAATAAACACTTGAATTGATGACTTGAACCCTGGCCTTTTGACCGGAACTACTGACTGATCCACTAACTCCTGTTCCAACCACTCTTTAAAAACATTTTTTTAAATAGTATTTTATTTTTTCCAATTACATATAAAGAGTTTTCAACATTCATTTTTTATAAGATTTTGAGTTCCATTTTTTTTTCTCCTTCCCTCCCTCCCCAAGATGGCAAGCAATCTGATATAGGTCATATATGTGCAATCATGTAAACATATTTCCACATTAGTCATGTGTTCCAACTTCTCTTGCTCCCACTCTATCCTCTATTGCCTACCTTGCTCCCCATCCTGGCAGTAACCCAGTGAACACCCAGGTAAACATTTTCCCCATGTACAGGACAGAAAACAGAAATAAGACTTTCCTTTCTAAATCATTGGATTATGTTATTGTAATATCAAGAGATTCATTAAGAATTCTGATTTTGTGGGGCAGCTAGATGGCACAGTGGACAGAGCACCAGCCCTAAAGTCAGGAGGACCTGAGTTCAAATCTGGCCTCAGACCAAACACTTGACACTTACTAGCTGTGTGACTCTGGGTAAGTCACAACTCCAATTGCCTAAAAAAAAGTTCTGACTTGGAACATTTTCCATTTAGACTAACATGATCAAGACCTTTGCACCATTTGTGTGAGTCCCACAGTTCAGGGCACAGTCTTTACTTTAGTACTTCAGAAGATCACAAATATGGTACTCCCTATGCTAATACTGGTGGCAGCCCTTCCACGTCTTAGTAGACAGTTTCATAAGTTGCTGTAGTAAAAAAAAATCATCCCCTGATGGCTAACCTTTCAGCAATGAACTTCTCTGAATGACAATCCATTTTCTTCTGGAAGCCTTTCCAGCTTGTTAAGATCTGCCAGAATTTGTCCTTCACTGAAGTAGCCTATAAGAACCCAATGTCCCCTTCCTTCCAGGGTAAGATATTAGAGTAGGAATTTCAGGGCCAAATCCCATTACAAAACAAACAAACAACAGCCACCTAACAAAAGAAGAGTTTTAAAGGAACATTGAAATTATTTCCATTGAATTATCATTTGGTTGAATTTATTTTCTGTGTCATGTACCCTTGTGGCATGCTTCTCAGGTCCTCCAGAAGTTTAGGATGTACCTGCTTCTTGGCCTGGGGGAAAGAGGAGGTCTTCCTATCTTTTACTTCAATGCCTGCACAGATAAACCCTGATTTCTTAGTGTCTGACATAGTGACTCAGGGGTCAGTACTTAGTGGTGATGAAAAATCTTTTACTGGGCTGCTGAGCCAGAACTCAGGTGATACAATAAAGGGGATGATTCCCACTTTTCATCCTCTTTCTCCCCTTTTGAGTTAGGAGGACTACACTGAGCTTCCAGGTAAGCAAAGAAGGAAGAATTTTAAAGTAGGTAAACCAATCAGTAGGCTATTGCAATAGTCCAGGTGTGCTCAGGCCACTTTTCTACTAGCTTCTTGCCATGTGTCTCTGAGCACATGGCATCTCTATTTCTTTTGGGTTTATTCTTTCTCCATCTTAGATGGGTGACTTTCTTGAGATGGAAGTGTCCAGGGACCAGTGATACCAGGAGATCCATCAAAGCGTCTCTGAAGACCCACTGGTAACAGGAGCAGATAGCGAACCAAGTGCACTGGAGCTGGAAGCAGCGGCGACCTGGAAGGTCAGTCAGTCAATGTTTATTAAATGCCTGTTCTGTGCTAGGCATCATGTTCAGTGCTGGGGGTACAGATGTGAAAAAGAAAGACAGTCCCAGCTCTCAAGAAATTGACATTGTAATGGAGGAAGAAACACAAAAGAAAGGTGAAAGGGGGCCAGTGGGGCAGGGGGAAGGGACAGGGGTAAAGGGGTTGGTGCTTAATTCAAGGGCATGACAGAAATGTCCACAGGAGTACAGCCTGCTGGTAAATGAAAAGATGGCTGCTCTGGATATCCAGAAGGAGTTTTCCATTCTCAGTCCTCCAATCAGAGGGGCTCCAGGGACAGAGGATACTGATGAGATGGGAGGAACAGGGCTGGTATGATCTTGCTGGGGACATGATGGAAAAATCCAAAGATTTATGTCCAGGTGGGAAAGTTTGATCATTTAGGGGGACCAGTGCAGCAGCTGAATGACCTGCTTGACCCATGCCCAGCAATGGATTAACTCAACAGCTGATACACTGTGCCCTTAAGCAACCTTGTGGGGACTCTGCAAAGGGAGGAAAGGACTACCTGGGTAATTTTGAGCCTACTCTTCAAGGACCTTTTGTGTGTATAAAGGAAGAGCATGCCCCCTGGTGTGAGGGGATTGCTTTTTAACTACTATTTTTACTGTCCTTAGTAAATCCCAAGTTCATTTGTTTCAGTCATGTCTGACTCTTTGTGACCCCATTTGGGGTTTTCTTGGCAAAGGTGCTGGAGTGGTTTGCCATTTCCTTCTTCAGCTCATTTTATAGATGAGGGAACTGAGGCAAACAGGGTTAAGCGATTTGCCCAAATTCACACAGCTAGTAAGTGTCAGAAGCTGGATTTGAACTCAGAAAGATGAGCCTTTCTGATTCTAGGCCTCATGCTTTACGCACTGCAGTACCGCCTAGCTGCCCAATCTTAGCAAATGCCCCTTTATAAATGCTGGTTCATGTCAACTGGTTAAACATTGGGTAGCACACTGGATGGGCATTGGAGGGCAACAGTAATAGAAACCCCATCCCCTCAGGGTTATCCCTAGAAGCCAGAGGGAAAAGTAGACAACTCCTCTGGTGAACTGCTAGTCCAGGGTGAATTCCGAAAGTGGGCAGAGAGGGCATGACATCTGTAACTATGCTCCTTGTTTTTTTCACTGGAATAACCCCTTGGATCACCTTCCCAGCCCATTCGTCTCAGGCTGAGAACACCTACGAAAAGTTGCCAAAACAGGTGACTGTCGTAGACGTCAGTCTTGAGGGTCATGCATTTACCCTCCAACAGCTTCATTTCCCATGATATTGGATAACCTCCTGCCACCTTTTCCATTGCTGACTGAGCCTTCACTTTTGTTTCCTGACACAGAGAACCAAGAGGAAGGGTCTTCTGGCTTCTCACAGCTGCTTCCACATCTTCCCTTTGGGGGCAGTCAGCAATCTCTGCTCCTCTGAGATTTGTCCCATGTAATAAAAGGTGGGCTCCATGAGAAGAGACTGTTACCCTCCCAAACCACCTTATATTTATTCTGTATCAACAGAATAGGCCAGAACCTAACTCATGGCACCAGAGGGCAAGGGGCGGCAGAATCAAGTGCTGCAGTGTCTAAAGGCGGAAGAAATTAACGGATGCAGTGTTGTTGAGTTCCAGGGCTTTCACTTGCCCAAGTGGCCTACATATAAGGGGCAGTGAGAGCATCCCTTTCCCTCCTCCCTTATTTCCTTATCATCCTACCTGAAATGAGTGCTTTTAAGTCCATCCTTCTGGTTGAGGACTCGTATCTGCAGAAGCTCCTTTAAATGCAAGTGTGCACCCTGGACGAGTTGACTATATTAAGCCAATATTAATCTTTACCATCTCAGAGTAGACTAATATATCAGATAAATTAGCTGCCGCTCAGCAATGAAATAGGGCTATCCACAAGCTAAGCTCAATGTGAGGAGAGAGAAGGTAGAACACAGGAGGTGTGATGGGGAAAGTGAGGGACTAATGACATGCTGCAGTCAGGATCCCTAGTCAGGCAGAAGCCACTGGGCACCTAAGATGGAATATAACAGTGGGGAGCTGTGAGCATCCAGTGGCAGTGGAAGGAGTCCAAAGGCAAAACCCACTGTTCAAAGGCTGAATTGGGACAAAATGTGTTCTGTGAGGAAATTGGTTTTGGTTTTTCCTGGACATTTGATTTCATGGTTTAGGGAACTCCTGGTGTGGAAATGCCCTCTCCAGTTGTATTTAGGTTACTTGTCTACAATGTAAAGTCTTAGAGAGGCTCCTGGGGACATAGAGAAGTTAATTGACTTGTCCAGGTTCACCTAGTTAGTATATGTCCAAGGCCCAACTTGAACCTAGGTCTTCTTGATCCATGATCCTTTACCCACTATGTCATCTTACATTCAACTAATGTTTCTTATTTCCACGGAGGGAAAAAGTTGCCTAGTGAGATGGATAAGGCAAGAAAATCAATTTCAAAGGACAGAGAGAATGATTTATATGTGAAATCTTAATCAGGAAGGATAGGTAGCAAAGTGACATAAATGTGTGCTGATAGCCCAGCCCCAGCCTGGAACTGGTCCAGTGGCATTGGGTCTTTATTCCTCCCATTTTGTGGCCCTGGCATCTTGCTACAAAACAACCAGGACACAGGTTTTCTGGAGCTGAATGAAGAAGGCAACTCCCTTTACAAAACACAGAGATGACAGGAAGCGAGTTGAGTATTTTCATGTGGAAGAGGAGTCTTTCCTGCAATAACTAGAGTGAGCATAGCCTAAGAACATTTTTGATGTGAAGAAAAAGATTCAGAATGAATTTGCAATTTAGGTCTATGAAATAAAGCTAGAATATGTGTAAACAGTGAGTGGTAACAGTGAGAGGCATCAATCTGTACCTGTGTGTTATATGTCTTTAAATCTGGCTCTTTTCTTAAAGGGATTTGCTCTGTGAAGTTTGGATTCAGTCAAAGGGCCACACTTTAGGACCTAGAGGGCCACATATGACCCTGAGGCCACAGGTTCCCCACCCCTGCCCTAGATCATATGTATCTTCATAGTTGGACTTAAAACATAGTTGGTATAGAACTCTCTCCCCTAACCTCCACAGAGGTGGAAGCATCTTCTGGGTGAGGAGGCTTCTGGGGCATGGTGGCAGAGGCATCTTCTAGGACAAGAAAGCTGCTGAGGCATGATGGAAAAAGAGGACAAGCAACAGGAGTGGAGCCTAAGTCTCCTCCATCCTGAGAGAATTCTCACCAGACTCTACCATCTCCTCAAGCTGTCATCTGATATCTCTCCTCTCTTTCTCAAATGCCTAGAAAAGGTTGTCTGCACTCAGTGCCCCTACCAGCCCTTGCCTTTTATAATTAGACTGTATACCTCATCGTGGCTGTTGTTCAGCCTTTGTTCTCAAACAGGACCCGTGACATCAGGAGGGTGACGTCTTGAGTTGCAAGTGAATTGGATTTAAGTGAGGCAGCGCTGTGCAGAGTCATCAGCCTCACTCTCTCCTCCAGAGTCATCAGGAATCTAGCGGCAAGACAGATCAGGATGACTGGCGATGGCCCTGGATGCAGTGGGAAACCTTGGCTTTTTAAGCTAAGATCTTTCGCAGGTCTCGATTTGTCTGACACAGCACCCATTCAGTGATTACTGGCTAGGTAAGAATGAGGCAAACGATGGCTTACTTTGCCTTCACAGAAGAATCAGTCTGGGAAGGGAAGACCTTCAGACCTTGTTACTCAAATAGAATCGCTTCCTTCAAAGTTGCCAATTATCTCTTAATTGCCCAGTATGATCATCTTTTCTCAATCCCTATCCTTCTTGACCTCTCCGCAGCCTGTGACACTATTAATTACCCTCTCCTCCTGAGGGCGGGGGGCTCTCTCCCTTGTCTTCATGGCGCTGCTTTCTCTTGGCTCTCCTTTTTCCTGTCTGACCTATACTACTCAATCTCCTTTGCAGCACCATCATTACATCACCCACCTTTCAATGTTTGTGTAAGCCAGGGTTCAGTTATGGACACAACATTTCATCTCCTATTTCCAAACCTTTGAACTGGCTGCTGCCTTTTTCTGGAAAGTCAGCATGGATAACACATAATCATAGTCAGGAAGAACTGGGTTCAAATCCCTCCTTGGACAAGTGTTCTTTGTAAAAGGATTGGAATACAGTGGTTACTTGAGACTCACTATCTAATATAACTGTACATTTTAACTTCTCAATTATTGCTTTCACTTTAGGGCAAGGTCCCATGTGTCCAGGTGAAATGGACTTATCGATTACAGGTACTGATGGTAAACTAATTCTCCTCATAGCCTGAAGCAACCTCCATTTTTGGTCCATCTATGTTTCCCAATGCTGGTTTCTTTATTCCTTCTCTTTGCCCATCAACTTGATATTCCTCTCTCTGTTGCACACATAACCCACAGGTCCATCCAAATGATAGATTTTCTCCATTTGTATTGTCCTGCTGGCGATCTGGCATCAGATGGTCTGGATCTCGGGATCCTCAGTACCTAGTTACGCCGAGTGGAATGGTATTGTCTGTTGGCCTTTCTATCATTGAGGTGTTGATAGGTTCTTGCTTTCAAGTCTGAGAAATCATGGCATTTTCTTGAATAGTTTCTGCCCTCTAAACACAAATTAATGTTTTGAAGCCAGACTGAGTTGAATTTTCACAGGTTAATTCATTCTTTGTGGTTTGGAAATAACACTCAACATGATTTGCTGTTTTTAACAGGTCATCAACATTTGGCAGCTTTTGTTAATAACCAAGACTAGTGAGATACACCGTCAGCTCTTTGAGCTATATCGCCATGCATCAGCATGTCACTGTGGTCTAGTCCCATCTGCTGCCTTAGGCTTTACTGCCCCGCTCACTATCAGTTTTTATAATGGACTGTCTGCTAGTTACAAACTCATAACAGATTTCCCCCTTTGGTTGAATGGTGTGTTAAATGAAATTGGCACCTGGTTGCTGAAGGGTTCTACCTAAACCACATTGCCTTTCTAGTTTCTGCAGGCATCTTGTCAGGTGCTTTCAGAGTTTGATACCTTAATATTTTCTATAACTCCAAGTACTGTTCCTTTAAGACTTTCTAATAATCTACTTTTTTTCCTACTTTAGGTAGGTAGTGGTACCTACCACTGTTAGAAGGCTTCAGTTGGATTTCTTACCCAAATATCCCATTTCCCCCCCCCCACCCGGGAGCCATGCTTCCTTCCCCAAGGAAATTCCTAGTCTAGGTCTGTGATTCCACTGTTATGTAAAGTTATAATATTATACACTCTCTCACCTGTGGCTCCAAGAAGCTGTAGCATGTGCAGCAGCCACACCCCAGGAAAACCCTCTTGGCAGATAGGCTTAAACCAAGTTGAGGGTAACCCATGGGCCACAAACCCATTGGTGAATTAGGGGGATATCTACTCCAAACATGTGAAGACTTTCCCCAGCAGAATGGGTGGATGAGAACAATTTGTCCAATGACCATGACGGCAGGGGAAGAAGGCACTGTGGAGCACTTATAGCTTGGTCAGACATCAAAGACGCCAAGGTCATTCACTGCTTCTGGTGCCATCACTAGTCATCTTGACTTTTTTCTTGCCGCTGGACTTCAATGACTCTGGAAGAGAGAGTGAGGTTGATAACTTCATGCACCTTTGCCTCACTTGAATCTAATTCACATGCAAATCATCACCCCATGATATCATTGGTCTTCTTCAAAAAAGAAGGAGAAATAACAACAATATTATACATGATGGTGTGGTAAAATCTAATAACACCTGTAACTGTTAATGGCATTTCAAATAGCTTTTTATTATAAATTAATTTTAATAACTCATCTCCAGATACTGTTTCCTTCTCTGTGAGAGTTTTGGTAATCAGACTCAATCATCCTCTAGAATCCCTAATAAAATTAAGAGCTAACATTTACATAGCACCTTTATGGTTTGCAAAGCTTTTTACAGATATCTCCTTAGTAGATCCTCACAACTGTGGAGTAGATGCTATTATTATCACCATTTTACAGATGAGGACACTGAGGCTGAGAGAGATAAAGTGATTTTCCCAGGGCCACATTGTCCATAAGTACCTGAGGTTAGGATTTGAATTCAGGTCTTTCTGACTCCAGGTCTAGTTCTCTATTTACTGTGCCATCTATCTTATTAGGAATTTTAGATGGGTCTATATCAGATAATTTACACAAAACAGATATGTGTTCTTTCTCCCTGTACTTCTTAGTACAGTATAGCATAGGTGTGGCTACATCACCTGGCCACCAGACTTACCCTGACAGTAGAATCCTCAGGCTTGGTATATGACAAGACAACCCACCCCAATCCTTTTTCTCTCTCTTTGAGCTGGTATATTCACTCCCAACCAGTATACCAGTTAGCAGGTCTAGAAAAGGCTGGCTGTAACCATGACCACTTAGCTACAAGTCCACTCTGTAGGTCCTAGGGGTAATCCTGGTGTCCAGGGATACTGTCTTACTGCTCCCCACTATAGTTCCCAAGCCCGTACCTCTGTACTTCCCATTTGCACAAATCAGCGGCAATGACACTATTGACTTTTTTCTTTAAAATTTTTTGAAATTCTGAATTTAATAAACACCAATAAAGGAGAACATTTTAATATGTAAAGTAGACCAAAAAAAATAGGATTATATATGAAATCATGAATGTCTATTACACGGAGCTCGCTTTTAAAAAAAAGAGTAAATAATAAATGCAACATGTCCTGCTTGTCTGTGTTTCCTTCTGGACTGCCTTCTGTTTTCTTCTATGCATTTAAAAAATACGTTAATTACTCACTTTTCTTTCTTTTTTGGTCAATATTAACACTAGTTCCTCTTCCCCTCATTGCTCCCAAAAAGAAAAACATATTCCTTGTAAAAATAAACATAGGCAAGCAAGATAAATGGACACATTTGCCATGTCCAAACATGTACATCTCATTCTTCACCTTGAGGTCATCTTGCCTCTGTCAGGGGGTAGGTGGCATACCTCACCATCTCTCAGTCCTCTGAAGTTGTAATTAGTCATTGCTTTGTGAATAAGTTTGTAAGTAATGCCACTCACTCCTAAAAATGAAATATTTGCTAATGAGAAGACAAAAAGATAGGGGCAGCTAGGTGGCACAGTGGACAGAGCACCAGCCCTAAAGTCGGGAGGACCTGAGTTCAAATCCAGCCTCAGACCAAACACTTGACACTTCCTAGCTGTGTGACACTGGGCAAGTCACTTAACCCCAATTGCCTAGAAATAAATAAAAAAGAGAAGACAAAAGGAAAAATGATCATAATATTTATTCAATAGAAGAAAAAGCAGGAATAATTAGAACGTAACTGTTCCTCCATAAATTGGGTCCCATTACTCCAGTAAAATATGTATGCCTCTGGGGTTTGGGGTGGGGACAGTAGGCAAAAACTTGCAGAAACTAGCAGTGAAGGGCAAGAATAGGAAAACCCATGTACCCCAGGCAGCTCATGACCCTGGAATGATTGCAGACCTGGATTTTGGTGGTTTTAGGGAATGGTCTGCACACCTGCTTCTCTTCTGCTGGATGAAGCTGCTTTTCTACTACTCCTAGTAGAGCCAGTATTAAGCTCTTTAAATAAAGCAACAGCTTTATACTCTTTCAGTGAAACAGCTGCCTTAAGCCTGGAGTCTGCAGCTTTCCAGGCTGGCTTCCTTGGCTGGGTGTTAAAGCAGTGTTAAGTTGTTTCAGTGACAAGCAGTTGCTGTGAGCTGGAGAGCTACAAATTTCCTCATATCTCCTTTCTAGGTTTCTCAGGAGTTTCTCTCTCAAGGCAATAACCAACAAGACAGGTTAGCTCCCGCAAGATTTCCTATCTCAACTTCTACTAGATGGTGGTAGAAGGCAATACAGACAAGCCCAGCCAGTTCTTCCCATAGAAGATTCTGCCTTCTCCAGCGAGCTCCCAGCAGCCTCAGAGCTCTCCTTCCATCAAAATAGCTTCTACGTCAGGGTTCCTTAACCTTTTTCACCAGTGACCACTTTTCTCCTAAAAAATGTTTACATGACCCCAGGTATATAGGTATGTAAAATAAGTATACAAATCAAACATTTACTAATAATAAATCATAAATAAATTGACTTTAAAACAATTCTTTGGTATACATATAATTTTACCTTTTTTTTTTTTGGCAAGGTATTTGGGGTTAAGTGACTTGCCCAGAGTCACACAGCTAGTGAGTGTTATGTGTCTGAGACTGGATTTGAACTCAAGTCCTCCTGACTCCAGGGTGGGTGCTCTTTCCACTGCACCACCTAGCTGCTCCGGTTTTACCATTTAGTAAAGACAAAAGCAAGTTTGCATACTAATGAGATGGATATGCTTGTTTATTTTTACATAAAGAATGAAATCTTGGTGGAATATTTGATACTGTACAATGTAAAGCATCTTCAACATTTTTCAGAGTTGATTGATATTTCGATTTTATAATCATCAATGCTGA